TGAACTTTCTCTTCCTGAACTGATATGAGTACTGATCCTAACTATGGTAAAACCTCAGCTAAACCAAACACAGGACTGTTCCATTCTGAATATTTTTCCAGGTAACTGAAGTTTATCCAATTAAGTGCAAAACATCTTCATTCTGTTCCAAATGGAGATTATTTTTAAAGGTATTTATTAATTTCCTGTGGATTATATAATGGAAACAACACCATTTGGAGTCATTAAGACTTAGCTAGCTTCACCTCTGGACTATGGCTTTGGATAAACCACTTATCTTTAAGGCTGAGTCTGTCATCTGTGAGTGGACATGTTACCTTCCTGCCTACCTCTCTGGATCGAACAAGATAATATAGGTGAAATGTTCTGTAAACTCAATGTGTCTCGCACATTTAAAATACTATCATTTAACTATTTTTTGCTTACTCAGAGGCAGCAATGTGAACTTAATCATCCAGGAAAATAGTAAGCCCAAACCCTAGGATATATGTAGTTAATACTGTTTGCTCCTCCTCTACATGGCCGAAAAGGCTGTAATTTTCAATCGTTTGCTTGTATTCCTAGTCTTTTCTTGCTATCTGTGTTAATTCTCCTTGTTATCTTCTTGCTTTTATTTTTTTTCTCCTTTTTTTCAGTGCTCTTGCCTTTAAAAACTCCTCTTTCCTCTTTTAATTTGCTGCTAATTATACACTGTGGGTTCAGAGATTACTAGAAATGGGAATAGATTAAGAGATAATAAAAGAAAGACTTCCCCATGAGTGAAGTAAATGAACACTATTACATGTGACTGCTATGTTGCTACCATTTTCCTCTTATCTCAATAAGAGATAGATGAGCCACTGAGCATAAACAAGGTGACATTTCTGTGCTGCTCATGTGTGTCCTGGAGAAGGTGGTGCCCTGAAGGCTGGGGCCAACTGCTGCGGGACAGCGATGACAGTGTACCTGCCTGCTTGTGCCCGCCTCATGCAGTAACCACATTGCTACCTTTTGTCCTCTGTTCCCAAGTGGTGTTGGCATTTACCCTGAAGTCATTGATGATTTTCCTTTTGAAATTGCTTTATTTTACTAATTTAAACTATTTTGTACTGACGTAGCCCTGAGATAGTTCATGAAAATGCTGTGCACTCTTTCAATGGAATGTTGGGAAGCTGATCTTTTCTGATATAAAATATTGAACTATAAAAAAAAAACCAAAACACCTCCTGGTTCTTGGAGGTGTTTTTGCTTTTCTTTTCTTTTTCTTTCTTTCTTTATCTTTTTTTTTTTTTTTTTTTGAGACACTCTAGCTCTGTTTACAGGCTATAGTGCAGTGGTGTCATCATAGCTCACTGCAACCTCAAACTCCTGGGCTCAAGTGATCCTGGATCCTCCTGCCTCAGCCTCCTGAGCAGCTGGAACTACAGGCACGTGCCACCATGCCCGGGTAATTTTCCTATCTTTTGTAAAGATGGGGTTTTGTTATGTTGCTCAGGTGGGTCTTGAACTCTTGGCATCAAGCAATCCTACTGCCACAATCTCCCAAAGTGCTGGGATTATAGGCGTGAGCCATTGAGCCCAGCCTTGGATGTGTTTTGAATTTGTTCTTTCGGCATATATTTATTTATTTATTTTTGAGAGTGAGTCTCGTTCTGTCACCTGAGCTAGAGTGCAGTGGCACCATCATAGCTCACTGCAACCTCAAACTCTTGGGCTCAAGCAATCCTCCTGCCTCAGCCTCTGGAATAGCTGGGACTACAGGTATGTGCCACCATGCCTGGCTAATTTTTTCTATTTTTAGTAGAGACAGGGTCTCACTCTTGCTCAGGCTGGTCTTGAACTCCTGAGCTTAAGGGATCCTCCTGCCTCGGCCTCCCAGAGTGCTAGGATTACAGGCTTGAGCCACTATGCCTGACCATCTTTCAGCAAGTATTTATTGAGCACAGTATGTGCCAGGCACTGTGCAGAAACTAAAACATAATCTCTGCCCTCATGGAGCTTACAGTCTAGTAGTAAGGCAGGTAATAAAGTTGTAAATTACAGTGAAGAGTGATTATTACAATATGATACGTGGTTCTATGGGACTACCTACCAGAGAGGTCTAATGGAATTGATGGGACAGGGAAGAAGTATGGATGCGAAGAGAGTTCTAGGCAGAGGGACAAGAAGTGGGAGGTCTACAGCGGAAGAAGAAGGGGAGGGAGGGAGGTGGGGGGAGAAGAGAGACATACCACCAAATATTGGAGGAACTAAGAGAATTCCAACATGGCTAGAGCAGAGTACAAGAAGGGACAGAGAGGAATTGAAGCTGGAGGGGGAAGTAGATAAAGAGTTACTAACAGAATTCTGGATTCAGAAGTTCTTACTATATTTGCATCTTTTTGCATTTTCATTCCCTTATTCTTATTTTCCAACTAGATTATATATTTCTTACAAAAAGGATTTTTACTTTTCCTGTGTAGTGCAGCCTAGTCTTGTCCCCAAAGTGTGTGATCAGTGTATTGATAGAGCATGCAGAAGTAGACTGTTGTCACATTCATTATGAGGTTGACGTTATTACCTCACAACCTTGTCAGGTAATTATCAGAAAAAACATATGCTTGAGAATCACAAAAGGTCTTCATTCCACCATTTGCTACCTTTGTAACTAGAGGACAGGTTATGTAACCTCTTCAAGCCTCAGTTTTTTCCATCAGCACAAAGGATATAGTGACATTCAATTCATAAGGGTATTAAATGAAGATTAAATGAAATATTCACATACATCCAGCAGAGTACACTCAACAAACGCCAGCTCCCTTTTTTACTTCTCACTTCCCTCCTCTGAACTCTTAGTCCATTCTTTTCCATCTGCCCCCACACCTTACTCCATAACCATTCCCTCTCCTTTGCATTTTCTAAGCCTTCCTCTCTCCACTGGCTCCTTTCTCTCAGCCTACAAACATTCTCAACTAAAAGCTAAAAATAGTCCCTCTCTCTTAATCCAGGTCTCCATCTCCTTAAGCTTTCCATTTCTCTTCAACCCTTTGACACCAAACTCCTTAAAAGAGTTGTCAACATTTTCTAATCCAAGCTGTATGAAGGACCCTCAGCTCTGGCACCTGGGAGAGATGAAGAGAGAGGTGGAACTAAGAAAGGAGCCGAGACCCAGCCACTATCTCCAAGGAGGAGAACCCATGGCTTTAGAGTCAGTGGTATGCCGTCTCCTTCTGAACTTCAACTTACTCTTTAACTTTCCACAACCGACCAACTTCCTAATCCTTCCCCTTCTAGAACTTTTTTGTAAAATCACCAAATCCCAAGGTCTCTTACGGCTTTTCATCCTGTGATTAACTAAACCATTGATCAATTCCTGGAAGTATGCCCTTTTCTCAGCTAAAAATTTATTGAAGCATCCAACGCATTCCCACTGAGCTATTTATTTCACTCCTCTGATCACACACTTTTAACGCTGCCCCACTGCCTACAGGAAAAGTCTGAACTCTTGAACAACTTCTTTAAAGCTTGCCATGATCTAGTCTTTTTCCTTCAGTTATCTCTTCAACAGCCTGTGCTCCAGACATATAAAATAAATCACCACTTCTTGAGAATGCCCTGTATTATGTTTATTCCTGCCTCTATCACCTGGGAAACATTTATTCCCCATCTCTGGCTATTAAATAGTTGAATCCATCCTTTCAAGCCTACCTCCTCAGCCCTAGCAGAATTAATCTAAGCATCTTTACTCTCATGATTCTTTAAACCTCTATTAAAGTAACGACATTGTTTCACTTGCATTACAGCTATCTGTACTTAACTTTCTCTCTCTGACCAGGTTGTTAAGATTTTTTT